CTGAAAATGTTTTCTTAGATGTACCAGATGCCATCTTTAATATATTGTAGCTTATTTTTCTTATATTGTCTTTGTTTTTAATCCACCTTGCTTACTGTCCCTTTAAGTATCCACTTAAGTATCCACTTATTGTTTTTATTCTCTTATTCCCCTAGGTAGTGTATTTCTTTCACTTAATTGTCCTTTCTCTTTAAACTTTGGTACTTGCCCTTTAAACTTTTAACTTCTACCCGTATCTATCAAGTACTTATCAGATATTAGCAGTGTTAATTATCAGAAACTCTAAATGTCTATTTCTTTAAGTGCGCCGTATAGCTTCTTCTTAGCTCTCTATCTCTTTCTGCAGCCTTGCTCTGTTCACGTGCTCTCGCCCAGCAGCTTCACTTCCACAATGATCTATCACTCCTCTGCGTCGTTACGTTCACGATGCAGCACGCTCTCCTCCACGTTCTCCCTCTACGCAGCGTACTCTGGTTCTCTCCGCCCCTCTGCACGGCTCCACACGGCCCCCAGTCCTCCGTCTCTCCGTCTCTCCACTCGACACCTCAGGCTCGCAAATCTCCCACAGCTGGTCTCCCTGGCCTCCGCTTTCTGCTTCTCTCCACTCGGCACCTCAGGCTCGTAAATCTCCCTCAGCTGGGCACCTCAGGCTCGTAAATCTCCCACAGCTGGGCTCCCTGTTCTCTGCTTCTTAAAGAAACATAGAGACAATGGCAGTTTCAGGTATTTTATTTGTTCCCTCACAATTACTGTTAAGCGTTTTTATTTATAGCTTTTGTTTCATTAGCTTCTAGTCTATTCCGGCCCTTTTCCTCTACAATTTAGCTCTTAACAGTTACCAACGCTGTGCTTAATCCATCCACCTTTTCTCCCTTTTATCACCTTCAACCCTTTTAATTCACCTATATTTTTATATTTAATGAGTTCATGGACACTTAGCTTGGGATATGTGCTGTCTTCCTCGTGTAAAGTTGTTCTGCTTCACTCCGTCTGGTCCTCCCAGGCCCGTCTTGTGCACAGCAAAGGCAAAAATCCTTTACTAGCCTTCCCCCACTTCTGCGTCGAGACAAAGTCCAAAAGGAAAAACTTCTAGCCAGGTTAAAAACGCCACTTCGCCTGGCCAGTTGTATAAGTCTCTTGCAAATAATCTCCAAAAAAGGAGAGAACCTAGGCTAGAAAAAAAAGCCTAAGAAAGTGTGGGTTTTAGGATAGAAATGCATGGAGCACTGCACCACACGTCTATCCTCGTCGAGCTCCGACCATCTCTTGACCCACATGGAATTTTGGATCCCTTTCTACCAAAGAACTATTTTGTGACCATATTGAAACCACAGAATCAAGCAGATTTGACCCTCACTCTCCTGCTCTCAGAGTGGGCTTCCAATTGATGGGTAAGGAATACTCTGTATCATGCCTAATATACGATGCTCATTCAGATTTCGGTAATCTTAGTCATAGTACATTGCTCATTAGTGTCTCCTCATATTGATTGCATCAACCTCCACTTTGCTTATTGAATCTTTCTTTGTATGGACTGTTACTGACATACACTGTGTAATCTGCTTTGAATCTTTGAGAAAGGTGGACAATACTGTAAGTAATTCCTCCGCCTCAAGTTATCTGAGTAGTGATAACTACATCACCAGTTCTCAAACTTCAGCAACTTTAGGGATCCCCATTTTAATCTTTTTTTTTTTTTGGCAGACCCGCCAAAGCCCTCCCCTTCTCCCTCAACGGTGCCTGCCATACATGGGACAGCCCCCTTGTGTGCAAACTGCACATGTGCCATGGAGGTCTTCGTCCTCTAAGTCCTCAAACACTAATGAGGACCATATCAGCTCCACTTTAAAGGAAGTTTAAGTAAAATGCTTGTACTGTCTGTATGTGGCCTACAAGGTCAGGTCTCAGAGGGTAGCTGATTTTAGAGGGGCACAACTCAAACTGGGGGTGACTTAGGAGTCAATATAGCTGCTTATGGAAGCAAACTAAGAAAGCAAGAGTGAGTGTATATGCAGCATCAGAAGTAGCAGTTTCTACCTTCCCTTTTCTTTTTCAGGAGCAGCCAAATACTCCATACAGCCTCCATGAATGCATGACAAGATATTCTACATCTGTGAAGGAGAGTGCACTCAGGGAGTTCTCCCTCTCTCACACTACATTGTCATATGGGTATGGCAAGAATTCTCTCCCACTTCAATGAGTCTCCTTCACATCATCCTCAGAAGCAGGGGTCGTTTCATAGAAAAAGAGCTAGGGGAACTCATTAGCATAACTCATTAGCATATGCCACACCCCCTGACATCACCGGAAGTGTATCATAAGGCCACACCCCCTGACATCACCGGAAGTGTGTCATAAGGCCACACACCCCGCCCCCAACGGTCCCGGCCACCGCCAGCCTTGCAGCTCCACTGCCGAGCCCCATGAGAGGCCCGGCGGTGGATCTGCAAGGCCGGCGGGAGTGCAAGGAAGCCCCGCGAAGGCCCTCCCTGGCTCCAGGCAGGCAGGAGTGGGGAGAGGCAGGGAGGAAGCAACTTACCCTCTCTCTTCTCCTGCCTCCTCCTGGCTGAATGAGGGCCGGAAGCGGGGCGGCCGGAAGCAGGGGGCGGGGCTTCGTCATGTGGCCCCCCCGTACCTCACCCGGGGGGACTGCGACCCCCCCCGAAATGACCTCTGCTCAGAAGCAACGGAAAAGTGGGGCTGAACAAAAATCTTTCATCTAGGGAAAGCAGGAAATCTGAGAGCCAGTGTGGCGTTGGAGGATGGACTATTGTGTTAGGACCAGGGAGTTCCTAAGGTTAATATGCTCCCTCTGATACTGAGCTTACTGGGTGAACTTAAACCACTCTCAGCCTAATCTACCGCACATAGTTCCTTAGATCGCTAGTTCTGTAGTCAGTTCTGTCGGAAATCCTGGTAGATTGGATGTACATGGGGAAGGGTTGTAGCAGGTGAGGGGAATGGGCCAGGCCAGGGAGCAGGTAGAACTGCTGCTTAGAGGAGTAACATTAATAATGCCTCCCCAGAAATAATGGAAATCCAAGCAAGCACTTAGGTTACATGAATAAGGGCAACACTGGCTGGGAATTGTTTTTCTGAGATAAAGTTGGAACATGAACTCATTGTCAATAATGGTCATATAAAAACAAGGCTTTTACAGATTATACCAATGTGGGTTTTTTATGGTGTTGCAGGTGGCTTTAGATGAGATGGTCAGACAGTGTTATTGATGCAACGAACATGAAACTAAGCAAACTCCAGAGGACAACAGAAGACAGGAGGGCTTGGCGTGATATGGTTCATGGGTTGCGAAGAGTCGGACTGAACTGTGAGATTGAACAACACCAACAAGGTGGCTTCAGAAGACTGAGTGGCAGGATAACAGGCTTAATAAACAATATTATTACATCCCATTGATATTTCCATGTCTAGGGCCACATTTTGCCATTTCCATTCCACGTAGGTCCAAATCCACTGAGCTTTGAGAAGGATGGCCAAGCATACTAATAATTGTATTGCTGTCTCAGGCTATAGAAATTGGGATACTTCAAATATATTTGACTGGCCTAGGCAGCTGAGCTCCAAGGCTGGAGCAGATCTCCTGTTTTGTTCTCTGCTAGCCCAAGCTGCCACACCCAGTAACTAAAATGAGGCTACTGTCACCAGAGGTGGTTTTGGCATTTATATTTTATTAACCATTTTTTTCATCAATTGGTTTACTCTCACATTACAATCTTGTGGTGGTTTATTATTAAATGTATGTAGTTTTCCTTTTAATTTTTTGGGGGGGAAATAAATAGAGAGAAGTGAACTGTGTAGGTAGGATGCATTCTGGAGACTTGGTTAAACTTCATGATTGGAGCTCCACATCAGACCTGTGAAAAAGCACAGCCCACATATACACACGCTTGATGAAAGCTGACTGTCTGGCATTAGTTTTATCTTTTTTAAAAAAATATATACCACAACCATGGTTCTGGCTGCTCAAGCTGAGAGGAAGCACAGGGGATCTTGTTCTTGAAACAAACACACTGCATACAGGATACCAAAAAAAAGAAGTTAATATTTCTGTTCTTTTAAAACTTATGTGGGTTAAGTCAGTTAATACATGGATCCCAGAATCTGGCTTGGTGCTCTTTAGCTATATCCAACATCTTTCTGTCCTTCCCTGAGTTCATTGCCACTTACTACAGAGGACCGGCATGGCAATGGGTGCCAAAGACTGCATGTCCCACACAACTGGCACGATGGCCAGCAGACTGGCGTGTCATATCACCTCCTGTTTATTCCCATCATTTAACTTTGGTGGACTCTGCAAAGCAGGTTTCCAGCCATACAACCAATCTTCCTTGGTCTCTAACCAACATTCTGCATGGTGACTCTCAGCGTACCAAAAACATAACATGCAACAGGCTTTGTCTGGGAAGACCAGGAGATGGGTTCTGCAGGCACGGCAAAGCTGACATCCATAATGAAAAATTAACAGGATGGTTCTCCACTCTTAATGCCATCATAATCAACAACATTATTGATAAAACTACATTTCCAGGACTCTCGGCAACTTTGTAGACAGCGGGTAGTGTAGCCCCTGCCTTGACAGCTGCACAGTTTCTATGGTGGCCCTGGTGCAATGCTATATGAGGCCTTCCTGTCTCTGTGCTGTATGCCACTCATGCAGTTCTCTTCTTGGGATTATCTTCCTTTGGGCTTCTGAAGGGATTGGAATTGTCATCATATGGGATAGGGATGGTGTGCAAGATGAAATCAACTTTCTCTACAGAGAGGAATAGCGGTAATCATCTTGCAGTCAGCATACATGCATGCAAAGCACATATACAGGTAGGGCAAATATGTACAGCTGCCCCTCTGTACAGCCTTGGTGCAAATGCATGGAGAAGAGGAGGGACACCTGGCACAGGCCTGATCTTCATGTGTGTGCAAGTATCTGCATCCATTACCAAGCTGAATAATAGCACTTCTGCAAAAGGAAAGCATTCATTGGGGGGGGGGGGAGGTTTAAGGCAGTGGTACAATGATCAGCAAACTCCTTGCTGTCTATGCAGAGGTAGCATGCTGTTTCTTGTGCTCATGGGGTTTTGCTGTGGGCAAAAGGAGCAGAGGCTGGCTAGAGCAACTTAAGAACTGAGTGGACATAAGAGGGGGAGGTCTCCTGTCCTGTCACATGCACTGTTGCAACTAAAAATGCACCACACTGTTTTCTCTATGGATACCAAAGAAGTGGGGGTAGATATCTGCTTTCCCCTCCCATAACGGCAGCCAACCCTGCCATATTTTCTGCAGCATCGAGATTTTCTTTTCCTTAGGATTCCCACTAATTCCCTTTGTCTATTTCCAGTGGGACTGTGAATGAGAGAAAAGGTGGCTAGTGACACACAGAGTAGAAAGATACACAGACTATCCAAGACCAGGAAGCCCACTAGCATATGAATGCCAGGGCTAGCACTTGGCACGAGATAGGTAGCAGCCACAGAGGTTCTAGGTAAACTATGTGGAACGGTAGGTAAGTTCTGAATTCATTCTTGTCTTAAAGGAAACCCACCAATCTTCCAGGCAGAAACCATCTCAATGAGTTCATAGGAGCCATGTTTTCAAAGAACCAGAGAAGCAGCCCCGTGGAAGAAGGCTGATCCCACTCAAAGTATAAATTGCTCCTTTTCTGTAGCTCCTGGAGGCTCTGGCTGTGATGAAAGACAGGTGATAGCTTCTCTCCCTCCCCTCAGACTCAAAAAATCATCAGTAGCTAAAATCAGGAGAAAAGAAGTGTTCAAGTTAAAGGGGTCGCACAGCAGCAGCCAACACTAAACATTCAAGTCGATAGTTTCACTATGTACATCGTGAGTGACAGATGGTCCCGCCTGCCAGAAGATGTCCTGCTCTGACACAGCAGCCACACACTGTTATCTGATTCGCTTCTCCACAGAGTACACTGAGATGTAGTAGTCATTGCTTCCAACTGCCAGGTGGGGCTGCAGAGAAAAGGGGAAAAAAACATAATATGTGTATACAGGAGACACTTTGCACTTGACAGGAAGCACAGTAGGGGCATGTTCTCACTGACAGCAGCCCCTGCCCAGTGCATGCAAATGTATTTTTGGAATCCCAGAAGGCATCATTGTTAGATAGTAGTCCTGCAAATAGGACTGTGCAAATTCACTGCAAATGCATGAAGGCAGGGATGGGCCCAGCACACTTGGCTACCAGTGGAGGGGTAGGGCCAGGGGGCTTGGTCCTGCTATGCTGCTGCATTTCCCCCCAATTCTGAAGTTCAGTATGCAGAATAAAGACCAGCCTCTCATTCTGAAGGCTGTATGCTGATGCCTGTTTAATGCTCAACTAGATCACTCCAGTGAGGAAAAGCAACAGACCCACAATGTTCCTTACCATGACAAGTATAACTAGGCTTGGCAGTTCAGTTAACAGATAGGAAATGTACACCTACGTAGCAAGGCTGGGAATCCAGAGACTGGTAGGGCTGCAATTGCACAGAAACATACTATCTGGCCCTTAAACTAGCGGGACATACAAATTGTTTAGAATTTAACTTATCTTTTCCTTAAAAACAACCCCCGCCACCAAATACCTGATACATGTGTCTCTGCAGGCCGGAAGAGGAGACCATGTCATTTCCCACACCCGTAAGGCTACGTCCCATGGATGTCACCAAAGCAGCATGGGCCCAGACCATGAGAAGTGGCTCCCGTGCCGCTGGTTAACACATGAAGCAGGCCTTGGAAGGGGCTGATGGGAAGTTTCCAGTTACGAGGGAGGGGACTTCTGCATCCCTTGTTGCATCATAACCACAATCTCCTATCGACTAGGCTTTTTCTGTAGTGGCAATTAACTCTGAAGCCTTTTCTGCAGTGCTGAGAAATGTCTCTTCTGTATTACTCTCACTAAGTTCTTTTACTTATCTCCAGCAGATAGGGAATCCACCTATATTCACAATCACATATCAACTGTGCCCTCTTCCCCACGAATCCATTTTTGTTCACCAGCCCAACATCTGCTGGAAAATTCTAAGTTCTGCTAACTCTCCCAAAGTGAACAAAGAGAATTCTACTAGAACCTGCAAATTTTTGCAAATTGAGCTAATTACACAAACCATTCTGTGACCTAATTTGACCTTTCCTGAGGCCTACATTTGCTGGTTTTGGCAATGGAAATCACATGTGATGGCCTTGGGACAGCTTTACTAGCCCTTATTTTTTATACTTGTTCTCTAGCCAAATGGCAGAAATATTCTGTGATGAGAAAGGAGACTGACCCAGTGTGGATGGAAAGCTAAGCAGCTGATGGCACCCACTCTCTGCCCCATAAATCCATCGTAGTATTTGATATTGTTGATCAGTTCACCGTTCCCATTGTAGATTGCAGTAAATTGATTCATAGAGCCACTACAAGAGAAAAGAGAGAACACAGTGAACCAGTGACGGTACAATGTCACTGCTGAAGCTTGCAGGCAGTGTCACTTCATTCTTAGGTCAGCTATGGACACAGGTAGCATTCAAAACGATTCCAAACACGAAGCTTGTATTAGCAGAGAGATTTGCTTTTAAATCCCTGAAACCCAAGTAGGCGTAAGTGCTAAACCAGTATCTGCTCACTTTGGTCATTCTTGGAGGCCCTACTTTGGTTGCTGCTGCCATTTAAGACTAGATGGGAGGTGACCTGAGAAAGGGCCTTCTTCATCATGCTATCGAAACTTTGGAACTCCCTCCCCAAGGAGGGATGTTGTCAGATCTCGGAAGCTAAACAGGGTTGGCCCTGGCTAGTATTTGGTTGAGAGACCACAAAGGAATACCGGGGACATGACACCGAGGCAGGCATTCTCAAACCACCTCTGAACGTCTCTTGCCTTGAAAACCCTATGGGGTCGCCACATGTCCATTCTGACTTGATGGCAACAACAACAAACAACTGCATTGTAATGGCTTAGCTGTTTAATGTTTTTATTTTCGCTACTTTGTGGACCTTGAAAGGTGGCATAAAAATGTTTTAAATAAATAATAGTGGTGAAAGTCTGGATAAGGGTGAACAAACTGAGATGCAATCCAGACAGAATGGAAGTGTTGTAGACATGGCTGCAATATGACTTTCGTGAGCCCCGGGCACTTTTGCCTTCATGGTCCCCTCCCATTAAGGTAATATTGATAATAATATCAATATTTAAAATTATTTTGATATAACTTTAAATACTTAAAAATTTTATTTTCCCCTGTTTTAGGCAAAATTTAATAAATTTTCATGGGCCCTAAACGTTTCATTTTTTTCTGCTGTGAGAAAAAAATCTAAAATGTTTTCTTTGACCCTAAAAGTTCATTTTTTTCTTCTGATTTTAAAAGAAATTAAAACATTTTCATGGGCCCCTAAAAGTATTGTGGGCCCTAGGCACTATGCCTTATGGATAAGTCGGCCTTGGTTGTAGGGTTGCCAAGTGGCACTTACCTTGCCGGCGGGGGCAATCCCACCCCCTCCCCAGGGCTGTGGGTGGGACTCTTGGAGACCCCTGAAGGAGCTCAGCTAAGGGGAGACAGAGGTGAAAGGTACCCTCCTCTCTCTCAGACTGGCGGGTTTCCCCATCCCCTCTAGCAAAGGTTTCACCTGCAGAGATCAGGAAGGGAATCTCTTCCAGGCTCCTTGCTACAATCCCCCCCCCCCCCGCCCGTCGGACTTTTCCCCCCCATCCCCCCCCCGCATCCACACACCGCAGATTTTCACCCTTCCCAGCAGCCTCCATCCTGCAGCTCTTCCAAAAGGAAAACTCGGTCCCAACTGGAGGAGGACTTCAGGGTTTCTCCTCCCCCTTTTGCATCCGGTCTGGGAATCACAACTCTTCTTAACCCTTTACTAGCCATTGGTGGCCAAGACAAAGTCTTCTTCCTTTAAGGATTCCCCCTCCCTTTAAACAAAGGGGGGGTGGAATTAACATGCCCGCTCTTTTCAGCCGGCCAAGAAAGTCTCCTCCATTAACTTCAGGAGCGGGAGGGGGCTGGCAGAACTGCAAGCCAAACGCTTCCTGTGGCGCCTTGGATGGTGAAAGGCACCCTCCTCTCTCTCAGACTGGCGGGTTGGGAGTCGCCACAGGGGACCTCTATTTTCCCCATCCCCTACTGGTTGCGCTCACCAGAGCCCAGGTAAGATGGGGCTGGCTGCATATTCCCTGTACCTCCAAAGGGAGAGGGCAAGCAGGGCTCCGCGTGGCTCGGGGAAGCCAAGGATGGGGCGGCCAGGCCTTCCCCAAGGCGCTGCGGTTCTGCGTGGCCTGGGAAAGGAGAGGAGGGGGTGAGCATGGGCAGGCAACTTACCTTCCTTCTTCTGCCTCCTCGTGGCCTGACTGAGGGCTGCTGGGAGCAGGGCTTGGTCATGTGCCCGCCCCCTGGGCTCCTCACTGGCAGAGCGGTGCTCCTGTGCACTCTGGCTCCAACCAACTCCTAGTCCAAAGTATTTGAAGTACTAAGGGCATCCAACCATATGCTGCTGCCTGTACTCTGAGGTCATTCAAGGTGGCTTCACTTCAGGAACCACAGCCTCACAGATATGATTTATGAGGTCATGGGGCAACAGCCTTTTTTGCTGCCATCTTCCTCAGGAACTTTGTTGGGCCCCTTCTCTTTAGGTGTCAACTGAAGACCTATCTATTTTTTATCCCTGGTTTTCACGCTGCTATTGGTAACCTTTTACTACAATTGTATGGTTATAAATGTGTTTCCCTTTTTTTATATTTTGCAAGCAGCTTGGTGTATGCTTGGCATAGAAAAAAGCAGTGTCTAACTACGTCATCAAAAAATCTTTCAGTACAGTCCCACCCACCGACAGGTTCACAGCAAAAGACATACATGCTCTATTTGATATCCAGGGAAGGGTGGGGGAGAAAGAAAAGCCGGTAGAGAGACTATAACCATGGGGTGATCTTGTGTGAAAATCCCAAACTGGTGAAGCTGAATAACAAGTCTGTAATTCAGTTGTGCCTTTGCTACTCTCAGAAAAGAATCCCAACATGTTGAAATATGGTAAGTGTCCCGAGGGCGAGCCTCCCCAGGGATGGCTGCCGCCGCTTGGGACTCCGACGCCCCTGCCCCCCATATCCCGGCCTCTGTGGAACTTACCAGAGAGTAAGGCTGACCTGCCCCGCCACTGCTGAGTCCCCCAGGTCCCAACGGAACGACTGCGGATCGTCAGGGTGCCGCCGCCCCAGATGAGCAGCAGGCCCCGCGGGAGGAAGCCCCCGGAGGAAAAGAGGGAACCGCGCCAGGTGAGGGCCCGCCCACGGCCCAGAGTGGCTTGGGGAGGGGGAAACACGGGGCCGACACAACCATCAGGTTGGGAGAGAGAGAGCCGGGAAGACTCTATACCCACGGCTCAGCATCCCGGCATAAGAGGAGGGGGCGGGGCCTGTGGGAAGGATGGTGGGTGGAGCACAAGGGAAGACACGTGACACAAATAGGGAATAAAAGGAGGACCAGAGGCAGAGGCAGAGGAGGATGAGGCACTGGCGACGTGAGAGACAAAAAGCAGAGAGAGAGAGAGCGCGTACTGTCTGACCGACCGAGGGAGAGCAGAGGGTGGTGACGTATCCTCCTCCTCTCCCGCTAGTCTGAGGCCTCTGCCTTTCCTCGGGGAGGTGGGGCATGGTGGCTGACAGTCTGCAGCAATCAGGATCGAGCGAGAGCGACGAGGGGTCGTCCAGCTCGTGTGACAGTAAGCAACCTGAAATCCCAGGTGCTAAGAGTTCAGGGAAGCAGGCAAGGGTTATAATATCCCAACTGGAAAGATGGGAAAGAAACTGCATTGCTTATGCCAAAGAAAAGAAATGGAAGTGGTTGTGATTGTCGGCTTCTTCTCCCTGTGTCTTGTACAGGGAGGAGGGGGAGTTCAGCAGTATTAACTAGATACTTACCATGCAAACAGGTTAGCTTGTGGGTGAATATCGAGAGCTGTCAGTCCCTTGACTATCTGAAGGACCTTCACTGATTCTGGCATTCTGGGGTCGAAGAAACGGACATCTCCATTGACACTGCCAACAGGCAAAACATTGGATTATTACCTGAATGCTCCAATCTGGAAAACAAACTTTATTATTCTAGATCTTAGCCCACACCACCAGGAAAGTGCTAAGCCAGTGCTCATCAATCTTCTGTAGCTAATACAGTCTATTTCAGGTAGCATTTGCAAGGTCCTAGATCCTGCAGAAGTAAACACAAGTTTGCTCTTGATATGGCCATACTTGTTGGGTAACTTGAGCAATACTGAACTGTGTGATCTGTGCCAGAGAGCTGACTCCAGACTGGTTGCTCTTTGACAAATTTTGCCATGTGAAGGCCTTTAAATATGGTGAGGTGAGTGGGTAACTAAGATCACAATAAACTGATACAGTGAAGTTTCTAGCCCTCAGATTGCCACCTGGATTAATAAAATTTTATGAAACTAGCCTTCACCACCTCCCACAAAGATGTTGGTTTTCTGAGAGAGACGAAGCTGAAATCTTGGTTCTACTCAGAGCTGGATTATACACAAGGCAAGTAAACTACACTTTAGGGCCTCAGATTATGAAGGGCCTCTCAATTACACAAGAGCAACCAAATGCAACTATTACAATGATGTACATCTTTGCTGATGCTATTGGGCACTCTGACACTTGACCCACTTTAGGGACTCAGCAAGTCCAGTCCTGGTTCTGCTATTGTGCAAACAATGCATTCTCAGAAAAGATATTGGTCACATAATAAAAACTTATATAATCAGGTTTATAAAGGAACTGAAGAACTTCTATCTTCTTATATAGCCTCTTTCTGTAATTTCCAATACAAAAAGAGACTAATTAAAATAATACAGCAGAATAACTAGAATGAGAAAGGCAGGAAAAAGAGGTGTGACCAAACCTTGGCAACAGAAATGATCTTGCCTTGATTATAGAAACGTGGGATATAAATAAACTAGTTGTGATTAGTAACTAGAAGGATGACTAGTAATATTCTTGGTCACAATGATCTCAACAACTAGTTAGATAATTAGTTAATTGTCGGGGCATGTTTTGTTCCTCCTGAGTTGCTGATGAAAACTTAAAAACATGTCAATAACATTTGCTAAGGTTCTGGAACCAAATGTGGTTTCTAGGAGTTAGAAAACAGAGAACTTCTGTATTCATGATCCCCTCCCCAAATGCAGCTCTGGTAGTCTGCTTGCCTTTGCTATAGTTTCCACTCCTAAATGCCACAAGATCCCAGGTCTTGCTAAGTTAAAGAAATCAGAAACAGCACAAAGGAAATTCACAAAAATATGTTGGGTTTATATAATTAATTGTGATTACACAGTTAAGTGTAAAAACCTAGCTCACTTTCACCAACTCTGGCACCATTTATTCCCTAATGAGGGTGCATTACAACAGCTGGTCAGGAGATTCAACTGCAGGTAGTGCAACCAGTCAGAAGATGCATCTAAGGAAGTGAGATTTGTAACTCCATCACTAAGCTTATTTATTTATTTTATTTAACTTTCAGTTTATATACCGCTCTAACCCCAAAGGGTCTCTGAGCGGTTTACATACAATTTTAGTTACCTATCTAGGGCCACATTATATGGGGGGAGTGACTGCCTACCGGCACCCAGGCAGCAGATCTCTGTTGTTCCAGGGGTGGAAACTAGTCAAAGGGTCAAAATTACTGATTTTACTGACCAGAATTCCAAAAAGCCTGGCCAAATACTGACAAAAAAATGACAAAAGAGATTCCCTTTTACAGCAAAACATATTAAAAATCATACAATAAAATGATCACTATGAGAACAAAACATAATTACTGTAATGTAAAACTTGTCTTTGCTTTATCTTTGTTTTTTCCTGAAAAAAGAAGTTATTAACTATGGCTTGCCCAAGGTCATCCAGCCAGGTGCAAGTGGAGGAGTGGGGAATCAAACCCGGTTCTCCCAGATTAGAGTCCGCGCACTTAACCACTACACCAAACTTATATTAGCCCAAATATAAGGATTTATTTAACTATTTACACAATTATGGAGCACACACACACACACTAATTGAATAAGGCACACTGTCAGGGTAGGCACACACTATGAACCAACAGGGCATAAATCAACTGGGGTTAAACACAATCCTTTCTCCCTACACACAATACTCTCTACACTCTCTACCTCTGGAGGTTGTGGGCTCAGGATAGGATCTCTCCTTGGACTGGCCTCCAGTTCTGCTTCAGCCTCTCTCTCTCTTGCCCAAGAGACCAGGGAAAACTTCAATTCATTCCCCAATCCAGCTGACTGTTGAGTGGCTGAATTTCTGCTGCCTCCCCGGGTTCCCCACATCTCTTGCTTGTGGCTTGGACACCCTGGTCCACACGGGCAGCAGGAGCCTTTCCTAACCCCCAGTAGGACGAAGACTGCCTCCTCTCTGGATGGGCCGGAGTATATCTTGTTGCTGCCCCGTCCCTTGGGACGGCCCCTCATTTCCCGCACTTTTGGGCCTTGGGGCAACTGGGAACTGTAGGTCAGCAGATGAGGAACTCCATTCAACCCAGTGAGTGAGACCCCTGCAGGCCCCCCTGGAACTACAGCCTAATTTAACCTTATGAGTGAACATTTTTGAAACAAACAGCCACAGATGGCAGCCATCTTATAAATACAGGTAACTGCCATTTCGTTACACTGTGCATCACAATATTGCTTGTAATGAACATGAGCTGCTCTTGAGATCTGTAAAAGCTCCTGTGTGATATTAAGATGATATACCTTGTTTTTGTGTACATGATATAAAGTTTCTTTAACCATCAGGTGGGCATTCAAAGTTCTCTCTGACATGCTGGCCCTTTCACTGGTCAAAATGTGTTCAGGTTTTGAAAGCCCTCTTTCTATGTCCACACTACCATGAGGCAATGGTAATGTTGCTTTCACCACCTTGGTAACCAGTGGGTATTTTGAAACTCCAGATGGTTTTGTCTTTTCAAAGAACTGATTCTAGTACATATCTACATGGCAAGTTTCACCGGCAGTTTCACCTCCGAGTCTAAAAAGTTTCCATTCATCCGCAATTATGTCCAATGGAGTATCCATTGGGAGTGCTGCTGCTACTTTCATTATATCCTTGTGGGTTCCTTCCTTGACTCGCTGTGCTGGAGCTTAACACTGAAGATTTCTGAGGATGGGCTTGTCCAAAGATGACTGAAGTAAAAGGTGTTTGCAGGCTGCTATGAATTTTTTTTTTTGCTCCTGTTAAAAAGAGTAGCTGTTCCTTTTCAGAAAGTTTTTTCAATTCATCACAGATTCTACTTTCACTGATTACTTCTCTCACTGGTATGCAGTGCTCATCACAGAAGGCTTCAAGAGACAATGTTGCTGAAGTCTGGAGGTGCCTGGTCACAATCATGTTTTTGGTTGGTGACCAGTCTCTAAAAGCTGACTTTACTAACAAGATTTTTTTTTAAAGCTGACAAATTAATGACCAAGATGGAAAAACTGACTTTTACTGATTTTACTGACCATTTCCCACCCCGTGCTCTTATATAATTCCCCAGATCTTCTGAATTCTCCAAACTTAGCAATTTATTATTAGAAACTGACCTGGAGCTGCCTTGTTGCAAAAGCAGAGTACAATTTTTCTCAGGAATCACTAGGGCTTACCCTGGTCATCTCTTTTTAATACCAGACTGGGATGTATGAATAATAAAGTGCCTCTGAAGTGTGCAGAGTCCCTTTTCCTCACTGGTTAAAAACCACAACCTGTCTTGCAACACAAGTAAGGCTTGTGGGGTATGCAGGGCTGGCTTGGGGGGGGGTAAAACTTTGGGGTCTGAGAGAGCCAGGCATGGTGCTGCTAGAAGATAGCAACATACATGTTCTAATTAAACTTCTTGTGTGAGTTAGGGCTGCCAAGTGGGGGCGGGTAAACCCCCGCTTAGGAGGCCCGATTTCCACCGCCGTGGAATCGGGTCCCGGGGGGAACTCCGCCCCCCGAAGCGCAGCGTGGCTGCGTCACCAGAGGTAACGTAACCACGTCAATCACGTTGGGGGTGTGGCCCCGATCGTTGGAGGGACAACTCTATGGTTTTCCCTCTGATGATCGTGGCCATGCCCTCAACGTGATTGACATCGCGCGTCACTTCCGGTGATGTGCTGGCGGCGCGCACACACATTCTCAGACGGCTCCCGGAGAACGCCGAGGCTCCCCCCCGGTAAGAACTTCTCACTTGGCAACCCTACTGTGAGTTCTTCTGAAGCCAAGGGGAGTCCAAATGTGAGTTCCTTTGAAGCCAAGGGGAGCCCAAATGTGGTGTGTGTGTGTGTGCTCAGAAAGAATCCTTGAAGGAGATCAGCCCTGGGGAGAAAACGCCAGGCTTGAGCTTTGGTGTCTTTTTGTATAAGTTAAGCACACATTTGCATCTGTATCTTACAATGAGTGTGTGAATATACTTGTATAACAAGTTGCAGGGAGAAGAAAGCCATCAAATCGATTGATACCATAATTACAAAAACCACCAAATCAGATTGTCAGGATATTAAATTTAGGGCAATTTCAGCTAAAGGCTGACTTGCACATTAGGGAGAATGGTCATAAATGGAATTTGAATTTCTTTTTTTAAAAAAATGAAGCAGTAACTCCGTTCAAAAGCCTTGAATGTCAACAAAATAATGCAAAAGCCAATATTCAAATACACCAGAAGGTAATGGAAAATCTTTAGCTCTGTCGTTAAAAGTACGTGTCCTTCAAGGTGCCAAGAACTCAGTGTACACTGAATTTATCAACTACTGTGTGCTTCAGTTAAGAGTTTCGGGGACTCAGGCTGAATACAGAAGAGAAAGGCTGCAGTTGCTTAAGATGTCTACATTCCATCTGGCTGTTTCCCAGCATCTCCATTAGCTTATTCATCTGGTATTGAAAGGGCAGGGCAGGGCACGGCAGGGCTGGGCCCTGACTGACTTCAACTACAAAGGCTGGCCCTTGAAGGGCCCAGGGATATAACAGGAAAATGACTTACTACCCCCCTTGTTAGAACAGTGAAGAAAGTCAGGGAA